AATCTACTCATGCAAAATTCAAGTTGCACAGTTACGAATTTTGTGTGTACATTTTCATTAATTTTCCAAGGAATCATATCATACAAAAGATTCAATATGTAAGATAGAGTTGCCAACCTTCTAGGATTGGCCAAGATTCTCCCAGAGTCTTCCAGTGACTACTGAAAGAAATCCTGGGGATTTTAATAGGACATTTTAAGAAAATGTCATTTTGTTATGCTGGGGAAAAAAAATCTGGAATAGCTTCAATCAGAGTTGGCAACCCTAATATAAAATGAAGTAAAAAGTACCATGAGAAGGACTTCAGTAATGTAAGAAACAATTTTCAGAAGCCTAAGAGATCTATACATGACTTACTATATTACAGGAGAAACAGGAACTCAATATCGTGTAAAATCCCTCATATACAAAATCACAATGATGCAAAATTTAATATTTTTAAAGATTGTTGCTAAGAAAAAGGGAAAAGGCAGAAGAAAAGAAATCCCTTTTGAAACCCCAATCTCAATCCCTATCCAAAAGCCTGGAAACCATGGATGTTAAATTGTGGTTATCTAGTTAATCATGCAATCGATACACTTTGTATCAACTATGTGATTAGTCGATAAGGACCGTGCTACAGAGCCACAGCGCGGGTAGCTCCAGGAGCTGGTGCAGTTCTGGGAGCCACCCACACTGTGGCTCTGCATTTTAAATGTAGTAAGAGCTGCTGGGTTCTTATTACATTTAAAATGCAAAGGTGCAGCATCTTGGACCAGTCCCAGCTCGCTCTGAGTCCAGCAGCCCCTGTTCGCAGTGGCCATATCTGTCTGCCATGAACAGGGTTTGCTGGAGAGCAGTGGCCCTTTTCACCGGGGGCCCAGACAGGCTGCTGCCAGAATAGCCTCTGCCGATAGTGAGCCTCGGCCCACCACGAGCAGAGGCTGCTTCACAGCAACCTCTTCTATCACCCACTATTTCCTGATAGGGCTTTTAAGCCAGCTCCCCTCAGAACCATCTCCTGTTTCTCCCTCCTTCACCTCCCCCACTACCTCCGATAGAGGCAATGGGAGGTGGGGAGAGCAAGTAGTCGATACTCCAGTTGACTACCCGATAAGCATCGACTAGTCAACTACTTGCTAACATCTCTATCAGAAATATAGAAATAGAACAGGAATTAGTTTGTTTATGTTATGTGGTGAGAAATTCACTTACTTTATCCCATGTTTACTTGTTTGGAGCATGCATTAGGGCTATTTCCTTTACAATACATAGTCTTTACCACAGTTCTATTATCCAATCTTTTACTTTCCCAAGCTGTATTCTTCCATTTAAATCACATTAGTTCTTATTCACTATTAGTTCCATTAAACAGTAGCAGTTTTTAACTGGCTTATTTGCAACCCTGAGGTTCCTCCCAAAATTACTATACTTGGTGTAGACATACATTGTGTATGTATTGTTATGTACACACACACATTTACATACAAAGGATTTTTTTCTGTAACTCCCAACACAAAATTACTCCGAAACACATGTTTTAATCTCTCCAGCATTTGCCTAAGTTACAGTCTGACCCCCATTCACTTCAATGGTCTCTGAATTGGGCCTCTAATAGAAAAATAAAAGAATTATAGAACTTACAAAACTCATATGATGTGTGAAGATTTAGCCATGTCATTGTATGTTAGATAGCCAATGCTTGTTAGGTTCCACAAACCAAGCAATCTGTTTTGTCATAATGGAATGTTAGATCATATAGTTTATCAAATAGTTTGCAAATTTGATTGACAGTAACAAAGCACAAAGAACAGAGGCCTTGCGCTACTGCAGCAAACTGATATCCCATTCTCAGTCAACACGACTACCTACTTGGGTAACATAAAATAAAAAGGCCCAGAAATGTTTTAGTAAAATAGCACAATTTTTGGTTTTCCTATACGGCAAGCTTTTGTCCTGTGAGTCACCTAAGAAGGACATTCAATTTACAATCCGCCAGCCCTTTAGCTTTTTCTAACTGATTAATCCATTTCTCTAGAAAGACATCAACATGGACCACTGAAGCTATCACCTTCTCTAGTTTGCTTTATTTCCCTGATTTTCCCTCTATACCACAAGATGGTCTGTCTTTCAGGTTTTCTCCCCATGTCATACATCTCCTGATGATTGCCAAAAACTAATTAAAATTCTCTAAAATTTTAATTTAAAATCCCACTTCTTGCTTCTGAACAAAGTTTTATCATTATAAAGGCAGTACTGAGATGGATAGTAATACTATAGACTCTTGGTGAAATTGGCTAATAAAACTCTAACATTGACTTTTCCATATATTGATGCAACCTTCACTGCATTTATTTTGCTCAAGGGAAAGAAAGGAAACTCAATTAAGACCAAAAGTGCGGTCAGCAGGGAGTTGATTGTCCAGAAACTGCTGCTCATTTAATTTCCTCTGCCCTGTGCACAGAGGTTTCACTGAGATAGCATGGTGCATTAGGACTTGTCGGCTGGTCTGATCTCGTCATGTTTTTTTTTTAAAGTTTCTAGCATTCATCTACATTGCAAATCTTTCCAATCACACTTCATGCAGTGCTATTTTATTGAATCTTAAAACAAACAATCAGAATCAGTTCTGAGGCTTAAACTGCCCATTCACATCAGTGCAAAGATAACTCTGAAGTCTAACAGCAATATACCCATCAACATTAGAGCTGGACAGAAAGTTTCAGCACAAATGTTTTGGTGAAAAATGTAGATTCCCACTAAAACATTTTTCAGGGGTGCACAATAAACTGCCTGTGGGCCAAATGCAGTTTGCCAGGGTTAGCCCCTGATGGGCTGCCAGCGCTTTATTTAGCTGGGAACAGCGACCTTCAGCCAACTGGAGCTGCAAGCATCCGTACCTGTGGGTGCCAGGTAAATTAAGTGCCGGTGGCCTGCCAGGGCCTAGCCCTGGTGAACTCTATCTAGGCACAGGCCTTTAGTTGCCTAACCATGCCCAAGTGAGATTGCAGCGAGTGAGGCTTGGTCTATATGGGTATGTCTACACTACCCCGCTAGTTCAAACTAGCGGGTAATGTAGGCATACCGCACTTGCAAATGAAGCCCGGGATTTGAATTTCCCGGGCTTCATTTGCATAAGCGGGGCGCCGCCATTTTTAAAACCCCGCTCGTTCGAACCCCGTGGAATGAGGAGTAACGGTAGTTCGAACTAGGAAGCCTAGTTCGAACTACCTAGTTCATGCCCCGTGTAGCCGCGCTGCACGGGGTTCGAACGAGCGGGGTTTTAAAAATGGCGGCACCCCGCTTATGCAAATGAAGCCCGGGAAATTCAAATCCCGGGCTTCATTTGCAAGTGCGGTATGCCTACATTACCCTCCTAGTTCGAACTAGGAGGGTAGTGTAGACATACCCTATTAGACCAAGAAGATTGGCTTATGGTATACAACTCCAGCTACATAAAATGTGTAGCTGGAGTCAACTTACCTGAAACTGAGCCTTGGAGGCGTCCACACAGCAGGAGGCTGCTGGGAGCAAATGCTCCTATCAGTTTCCCTTACTCCTTGCAAAAGGAGGAGTACCACATGCTGATGGGGGCTGCTCTCAGCATTAGCTTTACAGATCTATGCTAGGTCTTTCGTTAAGTATAGATGTGCCCAGAGAGAGGCTCTTGCAGGGAAAGTCCTGAGATTAGGGGAACTGGTTCAGACAGGAAGGGCTGAAAGCAGCCTGCTAATATAGGAAGGACTCTGCCCAGATCAGGGGAGTTGAGCTGTATTTGGCTGGAGGGGTGATTTTTGTAGTTAGTTTGCAACTTTAATTAATAGATCAGCCCCTAAGGAGGACTGTTGTGACTGGACTGGAAAACCTCGTGTGGATTTTTATTTGGTGATCCAAGAAGGGAAACTGAAGCGATGGGGTGTGTGCACTGATGGGTTGCCTAGAGGGCACTAAGAAGCAGCTACTCATATGCACCAGTTTTCCCACTAAGCTGCACAACAACACAGCTTCACTGGTGATTAGCCAGCCCCACCCAGTCATAGGTTCAGGACTCTGTGCATGGAGCTGACAGACTGGGTGGGGCTGATTAATCACCAGTGAAGAGGGAACACTGATCTGCACTCCTGTTTTCTCCTTTCTAGATCTCCTCTAACTCCTCAGTAGGTTTGCCATCTCTCTCTGACTCTTAATGTGCAATGCCATAAAAACCCCCATCTCTGAATGGATCTGGTTCCCGCTACACAGTTAGGGTGCTTTTGCACAGCACCCTAAACTCAAAATAAGTTACGCAATTTGCACTACACAAATTGCATATCTTATTTCGATTGTATTTCAATATAAGGTATTTCAACTTATTTTGAAATCTGGCATGCTTACACAGTGCCAAACACGTCTACGCAGTGCAATGATGTTTACCGGGATGGTGAAATAGCATGCCCGTTATCTTGAAAAATATTTTGAAACAATGGGCGTGTTTAAAAGACCTGGGTTAGCTATTTTGGGATACCTCCAACATCCCGAAATAACCCCACTGTCTAGACGTACCTTTAGAGAATAACAAGCTCTCATGGAATTTTTGACTGCCAGAATGGCCAAAGGCCAGGCAGACGGCCAGACGCTGGGAGTTATGTCTATCCCAGAAATGCCAAGGGAGTGCTATGGGTCTTCCCATTTATGATGCAGCATTTTCTAATTGTTTGTTTTGTTATTATTGTATCGCTTAGAGGCCCCAACCAAGGCCAGTATTCGATATACTAGGCAATGTACAACACAATGAAAGGATGGTCCCAGCCCCAAAAAGCTTATGTCATTTATATTTAATGTCAGTGCCATCCTCTTGCCTGCCTGCACTCTGGGGAATTTGCATTTGTGAATGCTTGCATATTGATGTAAATCCTTTTGAGGCAAGTCACTTCCATGAATTATATTTGTTCAGTTTTAATTATTTTTCAGTCCTTACTGTCCAGTCATGAAGTGCTTCATAACTGCTACCCATGCCATGAATCCCTCCTTTTTCATTGCAGATAATGGTAGGAGAAGGAATTCTCTACTGTTGCCTGTCTAAAAGAAGAAATGGGATTGGAGCCGAGGCCAATATTAATGCAGGAGGCTGCAACTTCAACTCTTTCCTTAGAAGAGCTGTCAGATTTGTTGGTGGGTTTTGCATGCTAGTTACCAAAAATGCCTTTTGTAACACATTTTTGGTTTCAGTTACACAGGTTTTTTTCTTTAAGATAGTCTTTTAGGACAGTGAAAGGCAGTTATTGGCACAACTATCATTGTGCCAAAAAAAGTGCAAGAGAAATTATTGAATGGTGTTGCAAAATAAAAATCACATATTTATAATGCTTCCGCTGTCCATTTTTCTCTTTCATCTATTGCATTATCATCAGTGTTGCTAAGTCAGTAATTTGACTTACCATTATCCCTCCCCCATTTAATATTTAAGATGTTTGGGTTTGGTTTTAAATGCATTTTCCCCCCTCTAAAAAGAATCCCAGTTCATGAGCAACACAAAAGAAACTGTTTGAGCTGATACCTCTATCAAATAATATCAGTAGATCTGATATTCCATGTGTGGCCAATGGGTGTTTCAGGCTGGATTCACAAAAAGACAGGTATTATGGAAGTTATTTTGAAATAACAACTCCTGCTTTCCACAAGGAATAACGCTTATTTCAAAATAGTTATTTTGAAATAGCGGTAGTGTAGATACTCCCCAGAAACATTCAAAGTAATTACTCTCCAGTGCTTCCTGGGACTCTAAATCGAGGTAGCGCATCCACATAAAGGGAGCCTGTCTCAGGACTTCCCTATAGTATGAACACGCTATTTTGAGATAGTTATTTCAGGAGTTATTAGTTCAAAATAAGTTATTTTGAAATAATTTCCTACTGTAGACATGCACACTTAGTGCTCATAGAGAATGTGGGGAACCAGCAGCTCCAATCCCCCCTCTGCCTGTTGAGAAACAGGAATCTGCTGCCTTCCAGGTGTGGGTCTTAACTACTAGGCCACAGCACAGGTGAGTACAATAAAACGGAGGTTGTTTGCAAAGGTTGGCCCCTATCAGGCTGCTGTACTATATTTACCAGCACCTCCACAGATATGCATGATTGCAGCTCCAGTTGGCTGAGGACCGCCGTTCCCAGCCAATGGGAACTGTAGGAAGCAGTGCGGACTGGGACACTATTTCCCGCAGTTTCCTTTGGCTGGCCGTGATGATCCATGGCCAACAGGAACTCCAATCATCTGTACCTGCGGAGGCACAGGTAAATATAGTGGCAGCAGCCCTCCAGGGGCTAACCCTGGCACACCAGATCTGGCCCTTGGTCCAGTATTTGCCAACCAATGTCATAGCACTATTCTAATGCTCTCTGGCCCAGTTAATCTTTAATTACTCAGTTATTTATTAAAGTGGGACAATGTCAACAGGAAAAATGAGCTACCTCCCCAAGCCTCTCAGCAGAATATCTAGCCCAATGGTTGAAAGACTCTCCTGAGAGGAAGTAGGTGCCTGTTCAAATCCCATCTCCTCATCTGGATGAGAGAAGACTTGAGCCAGTGGTCTTCCATACCTCTGGTGAGTGCTCTAACCACTGACCTAAAGGTTATAAGGGAGAGCCTCCTTCCTGGCTGTTGTGTGGGAAGGTAGATGGCCTCATTGATGCTGGCCAGATTGGGTCTCCAAACAAATTAAGTGGAAAAGCACCTATCTTCCACTGTTTTGTGAATCACTCTGAGCAGTAGATTGGAGATAGGCATCTGCACACACACTGAGACAACATTGCACATCCTCAGAAATAGACACACCTACAGAACTCTGGGATTGGGCACCTGCAGGGCTAGGTGGCAGCAGAGCAGGAGTTTTGTGAATTGCAATGGCACTTAAAAATGAAACTTGCTTGCTTGTATCTATGGGGAAATGGATGAAGGCTGCCAAATTCATTTCACATAAGCCATAGATAAGAAGGCAATTGAGTGTTTTGTTTTTAATTATTGGTGACCATCCAAGTTTGAATTGTCAAGCTATTCTTTGCTCTTCATGTAGAAAAGAGATGTGCAATAATTTTTTTTGGGGGGGGGCACTTCATCAATTTCGGTACATGATCATGGGCGAGCTCCAGCCCCCTCCAGAAGGGTCAAGGCCTTAGATGGAAGGTGTAGGACTGGGGGACGAAAGAATGTGAGAGGACGTGGAAGAGAGACACTATGTGAGAGACAGATTTTGTGACACAGATTGAGAAAGTGTATGTGGCAGTGTGTGTATGACAGTGACTATGTGGGTAGTACAGACTGGGGGTGTGTAACAGTGACAGAGTGTGTGTGCTGGTTGCTGCAGGGAAAGTTTCTGAGAGAAGCCACACTCTGTCTCTAAGACAAGGAAAGCTGTCCTGTTCTGTTGTCTTCTCCATCTCCCTGCTCTGCAGAGATAGGGCCTAAGAGAGTGAGAGAGAGAGAGAGAATTGGAATCTTAGAAACAGTGCACTACCTCTTAAGGCAGACACTCCTTAGCCACTTACCATCTGTGCTTCTTTTTGGAAGAGTTCCGTTGTGTGTCTCCATCTCCTTGATCCCTGCTCTGCAGAGATGAGGTACAGAGTAGGGATGTAATAGTATAGTCAATTAACTGATAAGCAAAAGCTTATAGATTAATGCTATAGACTACATGCATTTCCCTCTTCCCCCTTCCCTCACCAGTAAATTTTTTAGCAGTCTGGACAGCAGCCCAGCTCAGTCCTGGTTCACACCGGGACCGGGACCTACCCTTGCTGTGGCTCTGCATTTAAAGTTTATTAGGAGCAGGACGGGCAGGCAGCCCAGCTCAGTTCTGGCTCACTGCAGGTCCAGGAGGTCAGACCCACCCCAGACAGGGGCTGTTGCCACCCTTCACTGCTGCCTCTTTATCAGAGGCAGCAGCACAGGACGACAGGCAGCCAGTCTGCGAGAGGAGCTGGTTTTTAAACTAGCTCCCCTCGTGGACCAGCTCCCGCCTGGCACCCCTCACTGCTGCTTCTGATACAGTGGCTGCTGGCCTCGCCCTTGATTTATAGAATAGTCCACTAACCAATGAAAATTCATGAGGTTACTCAACTATTTGATTAACCAATATTTAGCATCCCTAGCAGAGAGGCACGTGGACACCCTGACTTTAGCACTTCACTTTCCTCTTCCCTCTGCACAGCTTGCAGGAGAATCCTGGGAGCATCTTGTCTTCAAGACAGACAAGGGAGGGGCAGCTGAAGACAGGCTGCCCACTGTAAGGATGCACCTCTGCTAATCAGCTGGGTGGGCTGGAGAGAAATGCTTGGTGGAGCGCATCCAGTCCTTCGTCCTGATTTTGCCCACCCCTGTCAAATGAAGTTCACTTGTTGGTATGGGGCTCAGATACAGTCCTCTATGCTGCAGAAACCTTGCATGGGCAGAGCCCATGCACAGGAAAGTGATGTTTTGTGAGCAGAGGACAGCTTCACCACTGCTCCAGATATGCTGGAATGGAGAAAAGTACTAGAGTGGGCAAAGGAAGAAGTTACCATATCCACACACAGCACAGATTCAGTGACCAGAAACCCAAAATAACAGCAGCAGGAGTGGGGGCTCTGGAAAGGCTAGAATAGCCACCAAGGAGGGCTGCAAATTTCCCATATCCTGCTCTATCTGACCTAAGAGTATCCATCTTTAACTCCATACAAACCAATCTTTCACCCTTAATTTATTCTTTGCATCTGATCTTTCATTATATATCTTGCTTATTCATCTCATGGTAAAGCAATAACTTCAGCCTGTCTCCATTTCTCCAATGCAAAAAAACACTACTTTAAACAGTAATAGTAGGTCAGGGAAACAAATCTAAATACCACCCAAAGCAGGAAAAAGTGCACTGCAAAGCAACCCACATTTACCCAGTATCTGTTGTTTCAGGAATTTGGCATTCAAGACACTAGTGTTATTAGATAGCAATAAAGAGAGAACATTAGGAGGAGGAAAGGATTTTTCAATAGATGAACTTTTAACAGGAAGTAAAGTTTAACTGAGCAAGTTAGGTTTGTTTGTTTGTTGCAATATAATCAGAAAGAGTGGCACTTTGATTCAAGGGTTAATCCACTCCATAAATAAAGACAAGGTCTGCAATGTCCAAAAGTCATTATCCTCTGACAGGTGTTTGGTGGTCTGTAGGAAATGAGCCAATGCCCTCAGTTTCCTTACCAATAGACAGATGCGCATGCTGAATACACAAGAATACCACACATCCCAATTGGCATTATTTGGCACCACAGAGGGCAGTGTCATGAGAAATAAGTCCTGAATGAACATGCATATTCTCATGCTTAGAGAATAGACCCACCTTGGGGCAATGTGGTTCAGCATGCACAGTCATTACTTCCATTTCCTGTAACGCCAGTTCGGTATATAAACAGATGAATGAATTATAGATTTATTTAATGTTTTCAGTAAGTCAAGACAGATCCTTGATGAATTCCACTAATATCCTTCCTCTCGCCCAACAGTTCTTCTTTTAGTACAACCATGTCTCCTTTAGCCAGTTCCTTACAAACCTTATAATTCTTGTAATAATCCCCATTTTATCCCAATAAGCTAATAATTTCCCAAAAATAACTCAATAAAATGTTTTACTGAAGTTTTGATAGACGAGGAAAATATGGTAGATCTAATCTAAAATCAGTTAGCTTAAAGAAAGATTAGATCTGTGTGACACAGCCTATTTTTGGTAAACCTGTGTTACATTTTATCCCATTTTCAGTTTACGTCAATGTCTTTAATTATTCTTCACTTCAGCATGTATTTTAAAACTTTGCATACTATTAATGGTGCTGTAGTTACCTAGATCAAATTTTTCACTTTCTTAAATATAGGTAAATGTGGTTTGAATTTGGTTCAATAATCATAACTATCTTTAACCAGCTGTTTTGTTTTACTTTCTAGGAGTTCATGTCTTTGGCCTTTGTTCTACTGCTCTCATTACTGACATCATACAATTGTCAACAGGATATCAGACACCATATTTCCTGACTGTATGCAAACCAAATTACACATCCCTAAATGTATCCTGCTCAGAAAATTCTTACATTGTGGAAGACATTTGTTCAGGATCTGATCCCATAATAATCAATGGTGGAAGGTTAGTTCCATCTTATTCTGTGTAATAATCTTGCATACTTGCTTTTACATTACGTAGGTAATCACTCTTATTTTTAATTGTCAGTCCACCTATAGGACTTACTCAGTAATTATCATCAACTCTGAATGAGTTTTGACAGTCATAACAAAACTCAGTGAATATGTTGCTCTTCAGTTCAGTTTACTGTAGACATCACTGAGGCCTAAGAGAAAATTTGGAAGACTATTCTGACAGACTCAGATGCCTAATAGGATGGTGCTATCCACTATTAATTAAATCCACCTCCCCACCTTTCAAATAGGCACAGTATCTAAATCATTTTTCAGCATGGGTTGCTTCTACTGTTACTCTTTATAAGTTCTACCTGCTGTGCAGGGAAAGATCATGCCTAAATACCCATATTACCAGTGGTGGTCTTATACCTTAGTTCATGAAGTACACTATAGTTTTGTCCTTTATTACTTTTTGTGCATTTTTTGCTTGGTTAAGCTGATATACAGACAGACTTTGAGACTGAAAGCCCCTTATTTAAGAAAAGATTGCAGCACTGCAAACTTCTCCACACTCCCCAACCAATATAAACCTCAATCCTAACCTGTTTAGGGTCAAGAGGATAGTTTGTTCTCCTTGGTTACTTAGGGTGCATCTACACTGCAGGGCTTAACTTGAAATAATCTATGTAAATTTAGCTACGTCAATTGCATATCAATTGACAGTATTTTGACACTATTTCAAAATAACTGCCTTCTGTGTAGATGCGGACTGAGTTATTTTGGAATAGCGCTAGTTATTTTGAAATAGTGTTGTAGTGTAGACATACCCTCAGGGATATCACTCCTGTTGAGATGGCCAAGTTTATGTAAGGAGATTAATCTGACTTCCATGATTTTAACTTGTACAAGCCTTGTTTTTGTGTGATTGCTGATGGTCTTCATTTTTAATTTCTAGCACAACTGTTTCCATTTCTAGTAACTAGCCTCTGACTAACCTGTGAAGAGTAAAGAGCAGCATTTATGTCATTATTCTGCTCATAGTGCAAATTAATCTTCTCTGCTATCCTTAAGTGGTTTTCCTCATCAAACTCTTCCCTGGTTTATAGTCCAAGTGCCTTTCCCTAATTTTATTCTTAAGTGAGCTCTGGCTCCCAGGGGAGCCAACAGCCTTGCCAAGGCCTTAGGCAGGGGTTGGAGAATGGATCCGTGTTCCTGGAAGGGAAAGGCCTCTTTGGAAGGATTGGGCTGGGGTGCTGCCAGCCCTCAGCACCGTCCAGCCCATGGCATGCCCACCAGCCCTGAGTGTTGCCTGAAGCATGCTGTGCTGTGCTCCAACAGAGATTTAAAGGGCCCAGGGATCAGCAGTAGAGGCCAGGAGCTCTGGGTCCCTTTGAATCAATGGGCCCTGGAGCAATTGCCTCTTTGCTACCCCCTCACCCATTGGCAGGCTTGCTGTCTCCTTTGTTTTAGTGCTAGTTTTCTTAATCCGTTTTATACCCTGACAGTTTTGCATTGTGTATTCTTACACTTCTGAGTTTATATTAAAATTAAGCTATCAGAGGAAAATAGTTATCCCCCAGGTTTATTTTTAATACCTCTGAGTGGTAGCTCATTTCCTATGCTCAGAGACATTTTCTTTTTAGAACTCTGAATGTATCTACCACATTAATACTAGCTGTCATACTTTCCATACACAAACAGCCATACTTTTCAGTCACATTCATTTTATTTTAAAATTAAAAGATAATAAATCAAGGAAGAACAGAAGTAAAATCTCTATGAGAGAGCCCTATATGTGCATCTCCTTTTTAACACCCTGCATTTGCTTTGAATGCAAAAAAGCTAAAAAGCTCAGTCAACAGAAAACAATTTATTGTTATTTGATTTATTTAAAAATATTTTAATATATTTTAACCTGCCTCTCTATACAGCTACATATCCAAGTCATGAAATTAAGATCCAGATCTGAACATTAACAAAGTTCAGACAGCTGAATCCAGCACAGTGTTCAGGAGTCTCTCTAATGAAGCCTTTTTCTCAGTTCATTGGCACAGCTGTCCTTTTGACAGATATGTGGAAACCATACATACATAGTTTCTTCCACCCAAATTGGGGGAAAAGCTGAGCGCTTTTACCAGAACTTATGGAGGCTCTATGTACTGGTGTGGATGATTTTTGCCTTTATTCCCCATGCTCCTCTTAATGCACATAGATATTCCTTGTGAAAGGCTCTCAAAATTTATAAAGGAGTCGAAGTTCTAGATCAATGACCTAACTAATGAGAAATTCACATTTATTTCCATTTGGCCAGAGTAATAACTGAGAAATTGCTAGACATACAGGCCCAAGTTCAGACCAGTAGAACTGCATTCACAGTAGTTCTGAGTTTGGACCACAAGTTCATTTACATAGAATTATCGAGAGAAGACAAAGCAAAATGAAGAACATAGAAAATTATGATGCAGCCTCTTAAAGGAAAACTAATCCTTTAATTCCCCAGGACTTAGTCTAGAGCAAAAAGATTACATACCATTGCTATAACATTCTAAGGGAGGCATATTTATGACAATAAATTGATATATTTTCTATTTATAGTGCCCCATTCTAAAAGTCAAAGTCATACAAATTCTATTAATCTTCCAGAGACCTTTAAGTAGTATTCTGGTGGAGAACCCTGCTGTACAACAGATTTCATTTTTTTCTTCTCATGCCCTGTGACTTTTTTATTCTTTCCAGAGAAAGAAGGTATTGAAATGTACCATACAAGAGCAAATGTCAAAAGAGACAGAATATCTGTTGTGACAATTTTATTTAGCTACTGCTATTATGGTCCTGGCTGTGAATATTCTAAAATAATAGATGTTAAGCTATATGTTGTAGCTTTCACTCTCATTGTAGCTCTTTATTTGGGATCCTGTCCTGCAATGTACTGAGAGACTCTATCATCTCTCGAAGCTGAGGACCTCCAGCATGTTGCAAAATCAGGCCAAAAATTAAGAGTCATCCATAATCTTGGCATTGTCAAGGAGTCTTCTAATGTTTTTGTCCTGCTGGTCTGCTCCTTCAGCTATTGCATGAAGAGCCCGGATTACTTTATTGTGAAATGCTTTCTCCAAGTACCTTTGCCATACGTGAGCCTGTCACATCAGGAACTACTGGGAGCTGAACCAGAAGACAGAGCAAATGAAGGTTCAATATGCCTGCCTCCCTAAGACCTGTTATTTCCCTCTTTTCACAACAGTAATATGGGGAGGAAGGAGAAGAAAGAAAGCACAGAGAAGATGCAGGGTTTCTGTGCCATCAGAGGAAAACATTTAGGAGGATGTCAGACTGCTGCAGAAATCGAGCCTTCACAGTACTCCTCCAGGCCACCTATGAAATTTCAGGGAGCTTTCTGGTTTCCATATTACCAGCCTCCTTTATGGGGCCCCATTTCTTATACTCCATGAGGCAGCTTAGTGCTATTCTGGTGGTGTAAAGCTGACCTTCAGATAGCAGACCTTAGAATTAGAGGAGCTCTTCTGCTTAGGGCAGTGGTTTTCAACCTACAATCGGTAGCACTGCCTACAGCCCCTCAGCACAGATGTGGCCCATGTACCAGCCTCAGGGCCACACAGATAGTATTGGTTGCAGTCCATAATGATAAACAAGTTGAGAACCACTGATTTAGAGTGATCCTTGGTTGGTGTACCACCATGTAGCAACTCGTATTCTAATCATCATCCTGATTGCCTGTACAGGGAGCATAGTTCGGGAAAACAGTGTGTGCTCCAACTCCCTGATGGACCTACAACCCCAGCTACTACAACAGCTCATGGGCAACATTCCCGTATAGAGCAGCCCCCAGCAGTGGCATTCAGATGGCCTAACATTGGGAGAAGCATGATGGTTTCCTGAACTGTGCTGAGTACTCTTAGGCCACAGCTAAATATCCGAGCCACAGACTTCACCGAATAAGGTTATTGATGGGGAGATAGATCTATAATTATGTGACCGACTGTACAATAATATGGTTGATTAATAAATTATTCACAAAGAATAAAATGCCATTATTTGAGTAGCTCAATAGATGGCTAAACAATATTCCTCAAATAAATTATTCATTTCCCCCCTTAATCAGTAGGACACATATTCATAGAAAAGACTAAGGTAGATAATGTGTAGAAGTTGTCTTTAATACTCATTCCAGTCACCAACCACTGAAAGAAAGAATTAATGAAATCCTAATCTGTTTACTGTGTAGGACTTTTTTGAAATGAGATATCTGAGCTTAACTCGGTGGGACCTGATCTTGAGACGTACCACATACCCGCAATGTGGTCATTGATGGTCATCCACACTTCTCAGGACTAAGCACTTTGAACCCACTCATCTGAAGACCTAGAATTAGTTGATGCCCAAATAAGAAATCCTTCTGAAGTCAATGGAATAATTACATGACTTATATGAACAGACTTTTTCAGGATAAGACCTATCATGAAAAAATATCCAGAAATGTAATTATATATATTTGCTCCTTTAAAAATCAATTAGCTCACAGTTCACCAAGTAGTTTTTTAACATCAGAAATGACTTGATGTTGAATATTCAAAACAAACTGATTAGTTTTGTAACTCAGGTCTTAGCTGATCCATTCCCCAAAGTACAAAAAGGGAACTTAAAAAATAAATCATTTGTTATATTTTTTCTGTGATGTGTAAGTTAAATCGTACTACCCAATGTGTTTTTAAATAAGTAGAAGTACAGTGTATTTGGAAAAACATAACTTGAGTGTCCTTCCTTGGCAGAAAGTCATTCCCTTCTCAACATGCTACTCTGGCAGCCTTTGCAGCTGTATACATTTCGGTAAGTAATCAACTCTGTTCATTATTCATTTGTACTAGCGAAAAGTCAAAGTGTCATTTACTGCGTAGTTTAAAGTGACTTGATTTAGATTGTCACCTAACGTGGTAAGGAAATAAATAAGCTCCAATCCTCTGAGCTTGACAGCAAAATGAAATTACAAATAGCTAAAATAAACTCAACATTGCTATAAAATATACAGGAGGGACACAATAGTTCCACACAATTTATCTAGCAACATTATCCTCTGTAGTGGAGTATAACATTTAAACATATTTAATGTTGTGTATTATTCACATAAAAATATTATTTTTGTCTTAGAAAGTGATATTTTAGTTTGCTGTTCAAATAACACTTATCATGTGCTAACTCTTTCCTTCTTTGTATCATACTTCAAACACTGCATGCAAACTCTAGACACGGGGGCTACGTCTAGACTGGCATGATTTTCCACAAATGCTTTTAACGGAAAAGTTTTTCTATTAAAAGCATTTGCGGAAAAGAGCATCTAGATTGGCATGGACGCTTTTCCACAAAAGCACTTTTTGCAGAAAAGCATCCGTGCCAATCTAGATGCGGTTTTGCACAAGAATGCCCCGATCGCCATTTTTGCCATCGGGGCTTTTTGCGCAAAACAATACCGCATTGTCTACACTGGCCCTCTTGCACAAAAGCATTTGCGCAAGAGGGCTTTTGTCCGCATGGGAGCAACATAGTATTTCCACAAGAACACTGATAATCTTACATGAGATCGTCAGTGTTCTTGTGAAAATTCAAGCAGCCAGTGTAGACAGCTGGTAAGATTTTCCACAAAAGCAGCTGCTTTTGTGGAAAAACTTGCCAATCTAGATGCAGCCTAGGACAATTTTTTTCTTGTTATATCTGGATTGACATCAGTGGAGATACATCAGAAATGCATTTGTCTGATGTGAACAGCTCCACTGATATTTACCAATAGGATTGGCTGGCTAATTAGTAGCTAATTGTACCTTTGCTGAATGTTTAATTTTTAATATCTGGAAGATCACAGGTCAGAGGCTAGGAACTCAGCAAGATTCAAAGTGCAAGTGGATGTTTATGTGGGCAACAAGAATACTGTATCCAGAATTAATGCTAACAGAGGAATGGGAGCAAAGTAAAACTTCATGTGTCAGGGCTTAAGCCCGTTTCTGCAGACTGTTCTGTGTGTGTACAGTGTTTAGCATATTGGGGTCTTGATCCATGACTGGGACTTCTAGGCACTACTGTAGTGCAAATAAATAATAAATAACATTCACCATTACTGATTACATTGAAACCTTTATGGGAAGCAGAGGAATGTTTACCCTACATCTGCCTATGGTGGGGGTCTTTTGCACCTTCCTCTAACACATAGTTTCTCATCCTTTTCAGGTTAGTGATTCCTTATTCAGTCAAAACATTCACCATCCCCTTACACTTACTATAAAAATAAGGATAAAAAATGTATTAAGGATAAACATGATGTCTACATAAGTTAATTGTGTGCATGGTTACATATTCAATAGATAGTACTTGACCATGAAAGCTAAGAGAAATGGAGGAGCAAGATTTTCTTTGCTTTAGATTATAATTATTTTTTCAGCACCTCATGATTGCTTTCATTGATATTAACCCAGCAGTCATGACCTACTGGCTGCAAAACATTGTTCTCAATTATCTGGTACTAGCCAGTCTCAAAAACATTGTATTAGATGGGCCATGGGTCTCATTTGGTAGAACAATTCCTATGCTCCTCAAGCACTAGCTCCTTAACTAGTTATATTTGCAACACATCACATCTGTATTCAGGTCCAGCTTGTACTGCTTCAGTGAGAGTTTGGTTTGGATAAAGACTTTGGAAGTTGTCTCACTGTGACTGAAGATTTTTCTATAGCAGTTGAATGGATTTTACCAAGATTGAAAAACAAAATCAACAAAATTGATGCTAAAA